TGCACTCCAGCCTGGGCGACAGAGTGAGACGCCAACTCAAAAAAAAGAAAGAAAGAAAAGAAAACGAATTGGCTGATATTTACAGAGTATTAGGCATAAGGTATCATATACATGCATAATAATGAATAGCTACATAACAGACTTCTTCCTAAAAGAAAGTTCCCTCCCCTGTTTGAAGCTCTGGGTTAAGAGCAGTTTCACGGCTGAAGGGGGAGGTGCCCACTAGCTGCCACAGCCAGAGAGGGGACGGAAGGGCGGCCACACCCCAGCCTGGTCTGCAGCACAGGTGGCCTGGGCACGGGCTCACCCACTGAGGAAGGAAGGAAGGGCCTGTCAGACAGAAACGTCCCAGAACGGCGAGGAGGGCATGAGGGTGCCCAGAGACCGCATGTTCAGAGCAGAGGGTTCATGTGCGAGAAGAGGTGGGCGAGCCTCTGAACTGCCTCCAGGACCTGCCTCGCAGACATTCGGGACGTGTTTGCTGAATGGCACACAGAGGCCCTGAGTGTGGACACACAGTTTCACCCTTCATGTTGACGGCTAGGGGACCAAGCGGAGATTCCTGAGAAGGGGGAGCCGAGAGGGAGGCAAGACTTTCTGGAAGATCCTCCAGTGGCCAGAAAGCAGGTGTCTCCGACACAATCTTTACACTGGAGAAGGCACAGCTGTGTCGCCACCAGCGAACCTCACAGCAGGACAGGAAACGGTCATCACGACTGAGGAAATCCAGTGAACTCTCAAGGCCCAGGGATGCCAGCTTTCCATGCCATGCTTCCCATAATTCTGTTTCTGGTTTTTCTTAATTTCTGAATTTCCCTTTTAAAAATGCAGAAGACGCCGGGCTCGGTGGCTCAGCCTGTAATCCCACGCCTTTGGGAGGCTGAGGTGAGTGAATTGCTTGAGCCGGTGGGTTTGAGACCCGCCTGGGCAGCGAGACCTCATCTCTACAATAAATCAAAAAATCAGCCGGGCGTGGTAGCGCATGCCTGTAATTCCGGCTACTCGGAAGGTTGAGGCGGAAGGATCGCCAGAGCCCAGCAGGTCGAGGCTGCGGTGGCCGGGAGCGGCCACTGCACTACAATCTGGGCGACAGAGTGAGAC